AAAAAATTTGGCGGGCCCGTACGCGGGTACCACGCGGGTTTTGGCGCCCATTTTGGGGATTGGGGGGAGGTACGTGCATGTAGATCATGTTTCCGAAATTTCAGCCTCGCAGCTTTTATAGGTCCTGAGATGAAGGTGCGTGACAGACGCACACACAGACACACGGACACACAGACAACCTCTCGTCAATATGCGTTTTTCGCATTGCATTGCTTCAAAAAACGCATAAAAAGTAAATTGAAACAAACCTGGGCGCAAGAATAAAATCAGAATCAAAGAAGTGAACCTAAAACAAAAAAAGTAAAAGCAAACGAAAAGCCCGTCATTAGTAGTGGGCTTCTCTACCTGTGAACCTGATGCTTAGATAAAGCTGAAAGCGAACAAGGTAAAGCCACGTAGGTAAAGCTGAAACCTTTTAGCTTTACCTAAGCACCAGCTCCGTAAATGGGAAAGCCCAATGCTCGTTTCTCATGCGTTTTGTACTGTGCAATAACTACACAAAAAGCATATTGTCACAGGGTTATCTGTGGGTGTGTTTGTGCATATACATGTATATATATGTATATATATGCACATGTATATATGTATATGTATGTATAAAAAACACATGTATATATAAATATTTGTTCGATGCATTTTGTCCGCAACTCCCAACTCGGGAACGACAAAAGATGGGAAGCCGAAAATTCAGAGGAATGTTCTCCGCCCACGTGTGATCCCGTAAATTTAAATTCAGCCTTCCCGTGCCCGCGGCTAATTTTGGCGGAGAAAATCGTCATTTCAGGAACCACCGAAGCTTGGAAGCTGAAATTTTATGCGTATGTCCCTTGCCCCTATTTGACCCAGATACTTTAAATTCAGCATTCCAGCGTTTTCAAGGTATTACGTATGGCACCGTAAAAATTTCAGCAGGGGAAATTATTATCTCGGAAACTGCGAAAGTCTGGGATCTGTAATTTAGGGCAGCGTTTCCTAATCACGCACGACTCCGCAAATTCAAATTCAGCATTCACGTACGCTTGGATTTTAATGTCACCGTAAAGTTTTGGCGAGAAAATCATTATCTCGAGAGCCAGAAGAGCTGGAAAGCTGAAAATTTCAGGAGGATGTCTTCTGCTTAAGCAGGGGCTTCACAAATTCAAATTTAGTTGCTAAGCATGCAGTCTCACGTACGACCACGTGAAATCCTTGCCGCAAAAATCATTCGAAAGCCAGAAAACTAGGAGGTTGAAATTTCAGGCGGATAACCCCCCCCCCCCCCTCCCCCTCCTAAGCAGAAGTTTCAGTAAATTTTGTCGAAATTGTTTGCCCTCAGCTTCACCAAAGCATAAGTTTCAGTAAATCCCACCGAAATTATTTGCTCTCAGCTTTACCTAAACATAAGCTTCAGTAAAGCCTGTAGGGACTTATTTGCTCTCAGCTTCACCTAAGCATAAACTTCATAAATGTGGGGGAACGCTCACCGAAGACGGGTTTTTGTAAGACAAGTCCTACTCACATAACCTCTGTTTTTGTTTGCCTTTGCTTTTTTTGCGCCTGGTTACAGGCTCCAGTTCTTTGATTTTGCTTTTTTTCCTTTTAATCACAAATTCAAGTCTGTTTTAATCCAATTTTCTTTGTAGTGCCGCATTGGTTTATTTCCCTCTTTACTGCTATCTGCAGTTCTTGCTTCGAACTCCTGACTAGCACCCTTCTTTCCCTCCTGTAGCCTGTCCCCAATTCCTGCCTCCAGAGCATCGGGGCACCCACCACCTACAACCACTGTTACCGTTTATCGTCCTGAACTCCTAACCAGCAACTTCATCCCTCCGCATTATTCTGGCCTCAGTCGTGCCCTCTGAGCTGTTTCCACGGAACCACCAACAAGAACCCCCAACCACGTCCAATCCATCCTTCCCTATTCCCACAACCACATCTCCTCCTCCCACGGGCACGCGATCCAGCCACTGAACACTGGGTAGCGCTGCCCAGCGCGTCTGGCAAAGTTCCAGCGAGTGGCGCCTCGAAATAGTGTAGGGCAGAGATGATAGGGCGAGGCGCTGGAAGGCTAAGGCACCATAGACCACCAGCCGAGCCGAGTTTTTGTAATTTCCGGTTATTTTCAGTGGAAAATTAAAGGGGTAGTTAACTTGGAGTTAGCTCATGCAGCCACGTCTTTTGAGGATTGGCAGTGTGATGTACGTCTCGGCTGTCGTCGCTTTCAGTGTAACTTTCAGAATCACATTGTTGTGTTTGCAGGAACATGTGGCGGATTGGTGATAAGCGGAGAAGGAGACTGCTGGCAGCTGAAGCGTCGCATCCCTGGAATAATGAGTAGACAGTACTTCAGAAGTGCCGTCTTCGAGAAACATAAGTATGTCTTCTTCTCGTAGCTTAGCCGGCCGTCGTAGAGTGAGTACGCTCCGTTGATTCAGGGAAGGAGGAGGGGGGGATGGATCTGCGGAATGTTAAAGTCAGCCGTTGACAGGTTGACGGTCTTCCGTCGTGCGGTCATGACCGCGTAGTTGAACTTGCTGGCACTTCCTCGACGTGCTCCCTGAGGAATTCTTTGGGTCCACAGACTTATTCCTCTGTGACTGTTACTGATAAAAGCGGATGAGTGCGTGTCCGGGATCAGCAGAAAAGAGGGTTGACAGTGGGGCCAGTTTGCAGTGCGCCGATTTCTCTCTCTCTCAGACGATGCCCCACTGCTGTTTTCAGGTTCTGCGAATGTGATGGGGCAATGGGTAACGTATGCGACTGCAACAGTAATATTGTGGTGCACTGGCGTGCAATGCTTACAGCGCTGTCCGGAGGAATGTCACTGCCTGGATACGCACGTGGACTGCAGCCGACGCGGTCTCACTGATATCCCATCCGTGCTACCTTCTTGGGCAACTACGCTGTTCGTCTTTTACTGTTACTAAAATTTCAAAAATACCGAGACCAGGCAAACATTTGATCTGCTTCTCCTCACACGATGGGCGCAGTTATGGGCCAGACGGGTACCAACTACTAACATACATTGTCGGCAGGTTACTCAGCAAAGCGAGCAATAGCCCATGGCCGGCCGATTTTGCTTCCTGGTGAGTTCTAGTGACAGCCTGCATCTGGATGAGAGTCCGATTACTTGTACAGCTATGAACAGAAACTGCAAGCATCCTTTGCTTTTTCCATCGCAGTCGGCGTCCCCTTCTCTGCCTTCGTTACTGGCCACGTTTCGTACTCGTACTTCAGTGTTCTGTTAAAGAGGTTAGCACGATTCCTTCCATTTGCTCGATCCTCGTCAGCTGGCAAACCCTATGTTTTCAAGTCCCGCTTGGAGTTCGTGATGCATTTTTACTTCCTGGACAAGATAGGCATAACCGAAGAAGTCATCACTGCTTATTTTGCGTTGTGCCAGAACAA